AGACAGACAGACAGACAGACAGACTTGAGTCAGCAATTGCAGATTTTATTTTTTTTTCCTAATATGTGTAATAAAATTAGCTTATTAAAGAGCTAGGTCTTTGAATCACTACCTGTGAAACTGTAAGTTCAGGATTGTGTTTGGGTAAAATCCCACCATGCAAAATCATTCATATAGGGAAGGTAAGTAGATCAGAACTTGCCCCAATTCCCCACTCTGATCTCTTTTGGAGAGGATAAGCTTTTATAGGACTGCCATAAGGTTAAAGAACTCTTACAGAATAATCTCAAATCTAGCTTGGAGCATCTTGAAGATCTCTCACATCTCCAAATATTCTCCTGTCCAGAGCCCCCCAAGGTGGAAATTAGGATGAAAGGGCACTTGCTTCCCTCCATCCTTTCCCATTCATTATCTGATATCTCCACTCCCATGCCAATCTCCACTTTAATGGGAAGAAATTGATTTTGGCCAGTGGAGAACTTGGGGAGCCTAAGGCGGCAGGGGAGGGGATCCTGTGAATCCTCCAGGCTTTGCGAGCTATCCTGCCTAGTGAGGAACAGGTCTCTTTGGAGGCTTTCTAAGTTCAGATTTCTTGGCTTCTGAAAAGAACCAGCAGGGACTGTAGAGGCAGTCCAGTAATCATATTCTCCCCTCCATAGTTGGAGCCCTTTCCCCAAACTCCAAGGGGGAAACTAAAATCTAAGTCATCAAAACCTGTGACTGTTCATAAATGACTCAATTCTGCATACATCTGTATACAAGAAAATGACGTACTTCTTCATATTTATTTTATTTATAGATGATGAGGCATGATCCTATTTTCATAAGTACCCTCTTGGAAGAAGCATTTCCCCATCTTTCTTCTGCAGGAGGAAACTGCCAACCCTCTGGTAGGTCACATAAGAAAGATCCTATAGATTTTCCCATCAAAAATCTGGATGCCACTACTGACTTTACAGAGTCAGTTAAAAGAGAGTTGTCCAGAAGGGTCTTTAGTTAAAGTCTGTCATCAGCACAGCTATTATTTTTATTTTGGGAGAGTAATTTATTACATAGCATATTGGCTGCAATGTAATATTACACTCTATTGGTGTGTATTATAAACCTGCTTTGGATCTGATATTGTTTATCTTTATAGCTTAGATGATAAGACCTCTCAAGAAGTAAATATGTGCAATGTTGCACATGTATCTGCATGCGTGTGCACGAGCAGACTAAAAGTGCCAAGCAAGCATCACACGTCCCCCAAATCATTTATTTTCAAAAGCAATCTTTCAAATGGTTCACAAATCCAAACATACACATTTCAAAAGCGGGCACTGGTGGAGCATGGAGAAATGCCTGAAAAATGAGAGAAAATTAAAATGTGAGCATGAATTGAAGGCTGACTACAGGTGCACAGAAAATTACAGCACTGTTAACTAAAAGATTAAATGATGGTTCTTTTAACTAGTTATAAACTGAATCATGCGATCCACTCAATGTACTAATGTAAAATTATCCTTCACTAGGCATGCTTCTATTATTTCTCCATAATTTTCAAACTCCATGGCTCCTTATCCTGCTGATAACAGAAGTAGTAGCATTTATGCTGTTTTTTCTCACCATAAATTGTATGACTGAATAAAGCTCAACTGGACGTATGTGACTTCCAAAGTACAAAATAGGGCCACTTACACATCACTTTCTGTCACAGTGTGCCACAGGCAACAAAATGCAAATGGTAGGTGTTTGCAAAATGTAACATATTATCTTACATTCTGAAATTCAGATTTTACATTTACTTTATTTCATGGTATGGTTATTTTATGCTTTGCTTATAGCTTGTGCTACAAATTGCATCTACTGACACACATATTACTTAATCACATGTTTTCCTGTTAGAATTTGGAATATAACCTTAGAGCAGGAGATGAGAGCATCAGCATCTGTAAGGGAAACACCAGCACTATTTCTCCCCCAATAAACCCTATCCCCTGGATTCCTAAGCTTTCTTGCTTGGCTTGTAAGCAGCAGCAATCTATAAAATAAAGATGAAGTGGCTCTTCTCCCTGTTTGTAACAAAGGCTGCTTTTCACTCCTTGTAGCCAATGAATAAATGTTCTAGTAATAACCAACATGCACACTGTCTGGAGAAGGTGATATTTCTGAGTTTCTAAACAATTTAACAATTAAACCGACAATGGATGCAGAAAAAGCCATGATTGTTACATAACCTACAAACTAGCCCAGTTGGACTGAGTTGTAGAGTGGTCTATGTCAATCCTGCAGAGTAGTCCAGTGTTGTTATTGCATTGTCTTGCCTATCTTTTCTTAAGGGACATGTAGTTGGGGGGGGGGGGGTGAGCTGAAGTTGACTGTAGTAGAGATGCAAATTTAGTAAGGCCTGGATGGGTTTAAGGTGTGGGCATGAATGTACAGCATTAGCCAAAGGTCCAAGCTTTCTTTTCTCTTTTCTACTGGCTGGTGCCTCTCCTCTCTTACAATCAATGTAACATCTGGCTATCAGAAAGTAGGGTTTTCTCATATCTTGTAAAGCATTATTTTGTGAACTTCTGTATGCTTTCTAAACAGGAGAACCTAAAGGTAGGCTAGATCAAGGGGCATTTCATAGTTGAAGGAAGTGAGGGAATATACACATTTATATATTAGATCTAAATCTTTCCTTTGACTCCAAACTCAGTGGTCCTATTTGGCACCTCAGTCTAACTGGGATTAAATATCCATTTGTTTTGTTCATTCAGTCCATGAATCATATCAAGATCAGTTTCAGGACTGAAATAGTTTCCTTTCAGCTCTTGAGGATTTTCATCACAAGTGGAATGATCTTGTCCAATTCCCAAGTTATAAGAGACAATAAGATGCAAGTTCCGTATCAATTTCTCAAGCTCAGGACTATCTACTTCCACAGATCTGCTCAGTCACCAGTACTAGAAGAGCACTCCTCCCTGATGGTATCAGAGGATTTCTTAATTCAGTTGGAAAACTGACACAAAACCTGTAGTTCTAGGAACAAAATTGTATTCCCAAGAATATTGTAGTAGTGTGCTTGGTGTAAAAGTCTTATTATGTGGCTGATCAACAATATGACAGCTCCAGATCCTGGCCAAGCTATCTATCACTCTCCATCCCCACAGGAAAAGATGATACCCACAGATCCTACTCTAACTCTTTGCACAATGCTCACCAATATTCACAGAATCCTAGCACTGGAAATGGCCGTTGAGGACACTAAGCTGAACTCCCTCCTCAGTTCAGGAATCCAGATTAAAGCATTCCAGAGACACAGCGATCTAGCTTCTGGACACATGCAGTGCAAGATGGCCTATTACCTCCCTATATGATCGGTTCCTGTGCTGATGTTGAATT